TTCTAAATGTATTTTGTGTTCCAGTTTGGAATTACATAAATTAATCAACTAAAAACTAAACAGTTATTAATCTAAAAACTAAACTCCCTTTAGTCAACTGAATAGGTTAACTGTGAATTATTTTTTATTTTTTTTGGAGCTGAGAAGGAACCATTTTATAGGGCTGAAGATGAACCTTTGGTGCTGCAGAGTTGAACCCTCTGGCTGTTTCTGAATGAGCACTTCCTATTTTGAATTTCAGATTTTTTTGACAACCATCTATACATAAATGGAGATGGTGCAACGTTCAATTTGGTTTCAGATCCATTTTCACACCAGGCTGCTAAACCAATAACCACATACCAAAACACAAAGGAAATGAAATACGCTTAAATATAAAAGACAAAATGTGAGATTCTGGAATTGTGCCGTGTAAATGCATTATCCCTCCTCTTATTCTGCACCACTAATCTGGCGGAAATAATCAGGATTAAAATTTGCATTCCGGGGATGAAATGAGAACAAATGAGAGAAACCAAATAATGAGCAGACGCACAGACACAATTAATGTAGCGGCGCACCGCTTACGATTCGCTCTTCTTTGTTAACGTGGTAAAAATGAGCGAATGCAACTGACTGTTGTTCATGTGCATGGCTACACAATGCGTGCTGTCTACAATGATGCAGCATCACAAGAGACGCTGCGCACGCGCTCGCCGGCCGGCGACATTTAAACAATCGCAAATGTCAGACAGGTGCGACACAGCCGTCCTCGCGCATCCTGAGCTGGAGCGTGACCTCCGCCCTCACCTTGTTATCAGTGGTCAGCAGACCATTTCCGAGGCCGTCTGGAACATCTGAATCCATGACAACACGCTTAGCAAATAGGTTGCTTAGCAACTAATCCAAAGAGCGCCGAGCGGCCTATCAGTAGTGACAGTGTTAGCCAATTAACAGATACTTACTCTGAAGATGCTTGTTTTGCTCTCTGATCTGCGACGACCGAGACATGCTGATTTAAAATATGCCTGACTGGCATGAATGGACAAAACAAGCCTCGTTTTATTACCTGCGCAAGCAAACATCAGCAGCCGTATTGAATTGTGTAAGCATAGCTCTCATTTTCTGGATTCACTGAATAGATTGCACACATAACTGGATTAATTATCAATTATGACTCTAAATGCAATGTGCCGGATGAGATATGCTGATTGTGATTGGTACGTTCACGATTTTAAAAAGCCATCATTCGAATAACAAATTACAAAGAGCTTCTAGGAATGAAAAATACCAAGAATTATCATAGACTACACTTTATTGTCGTACATTTTGGGGAAGAATATAATGGGAAGAATGAATACATATAGTCTCTTGACGTTCTAGGAAAATGAGTAAGTAGGCTATCTGATTTTATTGTGATGAGGTGATTGTAACTTTAGATTTACTTATCTGGTAATAAATTGGTCCTTCTGGTGTCGGGGGAAATTAGAAGTGCACTTTTCAAAATGATCGATAGAGGGCTCCCTTTCATTACAGTATCTATGTCTATGAAAAAACCATCAGCTTTCATAAAGAATTGCTTTTTTTAATGAAAATGTTTTGGATCAGATGGAAAAACGATGGATTAAATGGATGAAAACTTAAAGTAAAGACATTTATAATGATACAAAAGATTTCTATTTCAAATAAACGCTGTTCTTTTGAAGTTTCTATTCATCAAAGAATCCTCTAAAAATGTATCATGGTTTCCATAAAAATATTAAGCAGCACAACTGTTTTCAACATTGATAACAATAAATGTTTCTGATGATTCTGAAGGATCATGTGACACTGAAGACTGGAGTAATGATGCTGAAAAGTCAGGTTTGACATAACAGGAATAAAAAAAAAAGTAATATCTATTTGAATAGGAAAAAAGTATTTAAAATTGTAATAATATTTCACAATATTATTGTTTTTGCTGGTTTTTTGATTAAATGCAGTCTGGCGAGCATAAAAATACACAAAACCTTTGAACGGCAATGTAAAAATTTAGAATGGTTATTATTTGAAATAATATTTAAAATGTCTCATACTCGCATAAGTGTATTGACTAAACCTTTGTATAAATAAAAAGAGTGTGACTATTTTGGTTAGTGAACAAAATTGCATTATACAAATA